CAGCCATGGGGACATGGACAGGGGATGCCCCACGTTGTGAAGGTAGAGCTGCTGCCAGAGTGCAGGGTGTCATTTGCCTTGGGGTAACACTGTGATGTTCCTCAGCCCCTTGGTCCCAGAATTTTAGTCTCTCAGTTCCCAAACTCCTGCTTACAGCGTACCTCTTCATTCTGTAGCCATTGCCTGCCCAGTGCTCAGTGCTCCAGACTGGGGAGAACTGAATTGCTCCCATCTCCACGGCAATTTCACCTTTGGCTCCACGTGTGCCTTCTCCTGCCAGACGGGGTTTGTGCTGATGGGGCCAGAGCGTCGGGAGTGCACGGCCATGGGGACCTGGACTGGAGACCTCCCACACTGTGAAGGTATTGCTGCTGCTTAAGCTGTCACAGGCCTCTGGTTAACCATGGAATGTTCTCCAGTGTCATGGTCCTTTCATGCCAACAGTTTATCCCTGTACTCCCCAGACTCCTGCTTGAAGTGTGTCTCTGTCCTTTCAGCCGTCACCTGCCCTGTGCTAAATGCACCAGACCAAGGAGAGCTGAACTGCTCCCATCTCCATGGGAACTTCACCTTTGGTTCTACATGTGCCTTCTCCTGCCAGAAAGGGTTTGTGCTGATGGGGCCAAACATCTCTGAGTGCATGGCCACAGGGACCTGGTCTGAAGACACTCCACGCTGTGAAGGTAGAGCTACTGCTAGAGCTCAAGGTCTCACTGGCCTTGGGGTCACACTTGGGTTTTTCCAAGCCTCTCAGATTGAACAGTTTAGCCTCATAGTACCTAGGGTCCTGCTTGAAGTTTTTCTCTGTCCTTGCAGCCATTGCCTGTCCAGTGCTCAATGCTCCAGAACAGGGAGAACTGAACTGCTCCCATCTCCATGGGAACTTCACCTTTGGCTCCACGTGTGTCTTCTCCTGCCAGATGGGGTTTGTGCTGAAGGGGTCAGAGACCCGCGAGTGCATGGCCACGGGGACCTGGACTGGGGACACCCCACAGTGCAAAGGTAGAGTTGCTTCTTGAGGTGTCACAGCCTTGGAGTGACCATGGGAGGCTCTTGGGTGTCTTGGTCCTCTCATTCCAACAGCTGAGCCACGTAGTCCACAGACTCTTACTTGAAATGTGCTTCTTTACCCTGCAGCCATCACCTGCCCAGTGCTCAGTGCTCCAGACCAGGGAGAGCTGAACTGCTCCCACGTCCATGGAGACTTTGCCTTCAGCACCACATGTGCCTTCTCCTGCCAGACAGGATTTGCACTGATTGGGTCAGAGAGGCGTGAGTGCATGGCCACAGGGATATGGACAGGGGATGCAACACAATGTGAAGGTAGAGCTGCTGCTCAAGGTGTCTCAGCCCTTGGGTTGACCTGGAATGTTCTTCAGTGTTTTGGTCCTTTCATCATAAGAGTTTAGCATTGTAGTCCCCAAGCTCCCTCCTGAAGTGTGCTTTTTTGCCATGCAGCCATTGCCTGCCCAGTGCTCAGTGCTCCAGACCAGGGAGAGATGAACTGCTCCCACCACCATGGCAGCTTCACCTTTGGCTCCACATGTGCCTTCTCCTGCCAGACAGGGTTTGCACTGATTGGGCCAGAGAGCCGTGAGTGCATGGCCACAGGAGTCTGGACCGGGGACACACCACAATGCAGAGGTATTGCTGCTGCTCAAGGTGTCACACGCCTCGGGTTGACCATGGGATGTTCCCCAGAGGACCCTCTTGGTCCTCTTGTTCCGACAGTTTAGCCTCATAGTTCCCAGGCTCCTGCTTGAAAATCTCTCTCTGTCCATGCAGCCATTGCCTGTCCAGTGCTCAGTGCTCCAGACTGGGGAGAGCTGAACTGCTCCCACCTCCACGGAGACTTCGCCTTTGACTCCATGTGTACCTTCTCCTGCCACATGGGGTTTGCACTCATGGGGTCAGAGAGCCGCAAGTGCACAGCCATGGGGACATGGACAGGGGATGCCCCACGTTGTGAAGGTAGAGCTGCTGCCAGAGTGCAGGGTGTCATTTGCCTTGGGGTAACACTGTGATATTCCTCAGCCCCTTGGTCCCAGAATTTTAGTCTCCCAGTTCCCAAGCTCCTGCTTGAAGTGTATCTCTTCACTCTGTAGCCATTGCCTGTCCAGCGCTCAGTGCTCCAGGATGGGGAGACGTGAACTGTTCCCATCTCCACGGCAATTTCACCTTTGGCTCCACGTGTGCCTTCTCCTGCCAGACGGGGTTTGTGCTGATGGGGCCGGAGCGTCGGGAGTGCACGGCCATGGGGACATGGACGGTGCATGCCCCACACTGTGAAGGTATTGCTGCTGCCAGAGCTCAGTGTGTCATTGGCCTTGGGGTGGCACTAGGATGTTCCCCAGCCCCCTGGTCCCAACACTGTAGTATCCCAGGCTCCTTTCTGAGGAGTGCCTCTTTACCCGTGCAGCCATCAAATGCTCGGCACTGACCACCCCGAAGATGGGCCAGGCTTCCTGCTCCCACCCGCTTGGGGACTTCACCTTTGGCTCCACATGTGCCTTCTCCTGCCAGAAAGGGTTTGTGCTGATGGGGCCAGAAAGCCGCAAGTGCACAGCCATGGGGACCTGGACTGGGGACACCCCACAATGCAAAGGTAAATCTCATGATCTCACACCTGTCTGGGAGTGCTCTGTTGTAGCAGACTGCTTTCCCCAGCGCCTCAGTCTATGTCAGTTCATCCCCTGGCTTCCCAGCCCATGTGTCCGTGTCTCACTACCATCAGTCCTGTCCTCTAATACTGCTGCTGTGCTCTATCTCCAGCCATCAGCTGCCCAGTGCTGGACCCCCCCAGCAGAGGCCAGCTGAGCTGCTCTCACGTGCATGGGAACTTCACCTACAACTCCACGTGCACCTTTTCCTGTGAGGAGGGGTTTGTTCGGATGGGAGCAGAGGTGCTCTGGTGTGAGGCCACAGGGAACTGGACCAGGCATCCTCCTGTCTGTACAGGTATGGTGGGACCCCCCTGCTCCTCTAGTGCTGCGAGGGGGTCCAGCTTTCTTGCAAGTGCATCTTGAATGTGGTGAGGGGCACTCCAGGGGCTGAGAAGTACTGGCAACTTTCTAACTTGGGGGTCTGTGGATCTGTTTCAGAGGATGGTGCCTTCTTAAAGCAAGTCCTGGCTTACAGCAGTGGCACAGCCCTGACGGTAGCTGGTCTTGTGCTCTCTGGGGGGCTCATTGCCATCCTTGCCAAGCGCCTCAGTGACAGAGGTATGGAAACACCTCCCACAGCCCACAATAGCTTTCTCCAGGGGCTCTCAGGCAAGGTGGTTACAGAGTCCCTGGGGAGGGTGGGATGATCAGAAGAGTTTAACAGTGTGACTGCCTCAATCCAAGTGTCTTATTTGCTGCAAGTTGCATGGTTCCGTGGCAGTTTGTTGAGCTGAAAGAGTCAGCAGCCAGCTTTGGAGGGCAGAGCCAGATAAACACCCTCACTGTGAAGACAGGAAATGCTTCAGTTCCTACCCGCTCCATCCCATACTTCTGCTCCAGCTTCTCATGACCTTCACTAAACATCCGTTTTTTTCTTTTCTATCTGCTCTGTCCCCATGGATATTTCAACACCATTATCAGAGGAGAAGAAGAAGCTCCTGAACCACACCAGGTGAGAGCCATGCCCTGTGACTCTCACAGCCCGGTTGTCACTCTGCTGTCACTCAGATCTGCCTGTGTGAGGCTGCTTTTATATGCAGTGGGAGGATCTTGGGGGCTGACAGGGCTGTGTTAACCCCTGCCCTTCACACACTCCTGCACTGTCCAAGGTGACACCCTTTTGTTTGCCCTGCAGTGACCTAGGATCACCAGGCACCTTCACCAACGCAGCGTATGATGCCAACCTGTGAGGTGAGTGCTGCCAAGACACTCACAGCACCCTGTTCAAAATTCACCTGAGCAGCCATCCTCCTGGCTGGAATGCTCCCAGGTGGGGACACCCTTGGGGCCCAAAGTGGATAACACCAGCTCTGTCTCTTCAGTGCTTCCAGCCTGCCCATGACTGAACCCCACTGTGTCCCCCAGTGCTGCAGGCCCAGCGGGAGCTGCCGCTGCGGCCCAGAGGGACTCCATGCCTGGAGCTGCAGCCTGGACCAGCGCTGCCTGTGGAGACTGTGCCCACACTGCATGTACCGCCAGGAGGGGAAGCTGCCTCCAGGAAAGGTGGCTGGAGACCTGTCTGGGGCCATGGGCCGCTGTCTCATGTGGGCAGCCTGCTGCTCGACCCGTGGACCTTCCCTGTGAATTTGGACATTCCCCCGAGGCTGCCCCAGGGACAGGCTTGTGTCAGCAGGGCCCAAATAAATGCCTGTGTCCAACCAGTGTCTCTGTGTGCTTGGGAGGGGAGGAAGGTCTCCATCAAATAGTGTGGCCAACAGGACCAGGGAACTGATTCTTCCTCTCTACTCGGTACTGCTGAGGGTGCACTTCCGAGTACTGTGTCCAGCTCTGGGCCCTTCAATTCAGGAAGCACATTGAGGTGCTGGAGCAGGTCCAGGGAAGAGCAACAAGGCTGGTGAAGGGACTCGAGCACAAGTCCTATGAGGAGCGGCTGAGGGAGCTGGGGTTGTTTAGCCTGGAGGAGGGTCAGGGGAGACCTCATCACTCTCTACAACTCCCTGACAGGAGGTTGTAGCCAGGTGGGGATGGTCTCTTCTCCCGGGCAACTAGCGACAGGACGAGAGGACACAGTCTTAAGCTGTACCAGGGGAGGTTCAGGTTGGATATTATGAGGAATTTCTTCACAGAAAAAGCGATTAGACATTGGAATAGACTGCACAGGGTGGAGTCACCGTCCCTGAAGGTGTTTAAGAAAAGAAAGACTGGATGTGGCACTCAGTGCCGTGATGGTGTTGGGTCATATATTGGACTCGGATCCTAATCGATCCCCACTCTGGGGGTTGGGACAGCGAGCAGCGCCCGTGCGGGCCCCGCACCGGCCGCTCCCGGCCCCGCCCCGTCCCCGCCCCGCCGAGTGTCCGGCGGCGGCCGCCGTCGGGGGCGGTGCTGCCGGAAGCAGACGTGTGTTTCGGGAGGAAAGGGAAGCGATGGCGGCGGCCAAGGCCGAGTGGGAGCCGGCGGGGCTGCTGCCCGCGGCGGGGGGCGGCCTGGACTGGGGTGAGCGGGGTTGGGGGGGCCGGGGCGGCGCGGGGTTCCCGGGCCGGGCCGGGCCGGCGCTGAGCCCCTTGTCTCTCCCGCAGAGGCGGTGCTGGGCGAGGAGCTGAGCGAGCTGCTGGGCGCCGCGGCCCCGAAGGACGAGCCCGACGTGAGTACTGGGAGGGGACGGGGGCGGCGGGGGCCGGGCTGCCCGTTCGGCCGGTGGGTGACCCGCGGGGATCCCCCCGGGGCGGCCCGGCAGGAGACTGTGGTTTCCCGGCCTTCACCCTGCGTGAGTCACTGGGATATCGATCGCTTATCAAACTGTGGGTGCCAAGGCCGGAGGTTGAAGGTGTAAAGGGGAGAGTCCAAGGTGAGAGCTGGAGGTGCCGTGCCCAGGAGGGGCGGTGCTGTCGCTGCCCCAGGGAAGGTGAACCCCGCAGGGCAGTGCTGCGGGAGGGGAGAGGCGTGGGCGCCTTACACCTGCATCCACCGGGGCTGGGCTTTACCACCCTGCCTGTTAGATGGCTTCGTGTTTTCTTCTTTGCTGTAGGATTTTCTCCAAAAACCTTTGCTTGCAACCTTATGCATTAATCCCCGTGTATTTTACTGTCCAACTGCACATACCACTTTTTCTTTCCTGGGGCACCTGCCTCATGGATACTGCATTGCATATTCTTCCTCTTGCCTTCTCTCTGCTCACTGTGTCCTCCAGCACACCCCCTGTCATCTCCAGCACACCCCCTGGGTTATCCAACGTAAATCCCAGGTACTAAGAGCCTTCCTACAGGTGTTGTAGAGCCACTCACTGGAGAAAACGTTGGAACTGCATGACTGTACAAGGGAAAGGTAGTGCCTGTCAGCAGGTTGGCATTAGTTGCCTGTGTGGAGGCTCTTACTGCACAGCCCAGTTTTTGTCATTCTTCCTATCAATGTGCTTTGATGAGCTTTCTCTTCATTCTAACTTGTAAGTAGAAGTAGTAGTAGTAACTTGTAGTCTGTGCAGACTTTTTGAGCCTCCTTTTAAGGCCAAGTTGAGAATGTAAGGAAAAGGTACACTTGCAGGATAGTTTTTAGTAAGAAAATCTTTGCTGTGTATTTGTGTGAGTTGGGTATGTCATGTTTGTGTTTTTCATGCAAGTGCTCATAAAATGCCACATTTGCATAGAGAACTGAGACTTACAGATGCACAAGCACAAAAAAATGGAGCAACCCCCCCAATTGTTGTTTTAAAGGTTCCATGATAAATCATATGTATGAAGTGATTTTAATCTTTTTTTCTTGTTTGTTTGTTTTTATTTTTGTTGGAAAAGGAAATTGGGGTCTGTGGCTTTAGAAAATGATGATGTCAGTTTATTCAAATATAGGGAGACCTTATATATACTGTTCATCAATTCTTAAGCAAATCAGTACTTGTGTCTCTTTTCCTTCTGGTAAACCATCCCTAATGGTGCTTCTGTTTATAAGATGCTTTGAGATGTAATGATGGAAGGGCATGAAATAAATTTTTCAAGGCAGACCTGTGTTTTATTTGAGGTAGTTCAATGAATGGACTTAGAATTTTTGATTTAGAAACTGCCGATAAGTGTATGATAATTAGTGATGGTCTTAAACTGACATGCTCCTTTCCTACAGGTCTAAGGTTTAAAATAAGCCTTGTCTTGTATGCTCTAGTTGAGAATTTCTCCTTTAAGGACTTTTATCTCTGCATGCCTTAAGGCAACTGAAGTAATAGTTGTATTGTTTTGTTTTGTTTTCTGGAGCTGTAAGAATGTGCACATAATGGTTGGTGGCGTCAATGTATTTTTCTTTTTGTCTTGTCTCTTTTTCTGAACTGTCATTTCAGGAAAATGATCTCTATAACTTTCATTTTGATTTGGATTTGATGTCTTGGGACTCAGACCTTTGGAATATTACAGGCCATGCTTATACAGGTAATTAATCTTCTGTATTTTGCAGGTGTGACTCTTACCCCTCTGCCCCACAAGGGCGAGCTGCTACAACTTAGTGGTAACTTATGTGGAACTATTCGCTTCCCTACAGCTGTGTTAGGAGAAGTTGTGCTGCGTAGGGCAGGTACAGCTGCCAAGGACTGCCCTACAAGCTAAGCTGTTTAGTATCTTTAGTTTCACTATGTTTTCTGCTGTGCTTTGCTTCAGGAATTAAATAGCTGGTGTAGAGCAGTGTGTTCTTTACTGATCTCTCCTTGCTAAAAACTTGTGCAGTAAAATTTCCTTATCTGCCTCTTGCAGATGACAATGTGAAGACAGAACCCTTATCACCAGCCACTTCAAACTGTTCGGTCCCTTCTCCCTCATCTGTGGACTCTCCAGTGCAGAATGTGCCTGTACGCAGAAACCTCCATGTAACACATATAGCAACAAAAGCCCAGTGATTTACTTCTCTGATCAAATTTGTGGCATAAGAGGAAACATCTTATTTTTCCAACCCTTGCAAAAGCACCTTTCCTTCAATGGCGTTTTCTTACCTCTCTATGACCCATTTGAATAAGAGCATGTTCAGTTCTGTTTCCTCAGTTATGTTTATTAGCCTGGTTGCCAAACAAAATACCTTCTAAAGGCTTCTGAATCTAGCAGTTGCTGGCCTCTGCCTTGCATTGCTCTGCTGATGAGCAGAAGTACTTGTTGGTTTTTTTTAGTGGTACTTGGCATTGACCAGGATAAAACTGCAGAACAAAACCTTTCTCCTGTTTGCTGCAGCAGCAACACAGAAGCGATGAAAAGCAGATATACACTGAACTGCTAGTAGATACTTCTCTGTGTTTCTGAAGCATTAATCTTGTGTACTTTCTGTCTGCAGGATGATGTGGACTTCAGCTGTAGCTCCCAGATGTCTCCCATCTCTCTCTACAGCAAGAGCTGCAGGAGCCCTGCATCCCCTGAAGGAGATGGGGGGAAGAAGCCTGCTGTCAGCATCTCTTCTCGGTCTGGTATGAGAGAGAGAACTTCTTTAATCCCGTAGATAGTATGTGCTTTACTTTGATCCCATAGATAGTATGCAATTTACTTTGATCCTATAGCTAGTATGTGTGTTGTTTATGAATGATTAACTAACAGACAATAGATATCCTATCATTTCTGACTTGAGTTTTTGATCAGATATGTTTATTTTTAACGAATATTATAGATAGGTAAAAAAACCCCATACCAAAAGCCATTTTATTATTCCTTGAATTCTTTATTTTATGCTTTCTGTTCTGACTTTCTTTGCTTTTCTAGGAAATAATTCTGCAAGGAACCTAAAGAGGTGTAGTCAGACAGTGTCCAGGCCTTTGATACAACCCAAACCCCTTTTGCCTGCTGTGCCTGAAGCTCAGGCTAACATTGGTGTCCCAGCTAAAACCATCATTATTCAGACTCTTCCCATGCTTGTACCACTGCCAAAGAATCAGCCAGTTGTTAACATCCAACCAGCACCTCCTAAAGGTAGGTGAATTGTCCTGACTGAGCCAGGTCTTGGGGGTAACTTTGTCTGTTTGGGTTGGCTGATAGAATGAAGTGAGGTTTGATGCATGAAAGGGAAGGGGTAGGAGAAAAAGCAGTCCTACGTGCTTGGCTGAAAAAGCTTAAGGCTGAGAAGATGGCCTTACTCCTCTTGTAGAGTCCTATGAGAAACAGCCCTTACCTGGGTATTATTTGGAAAGGAAGACACTGGATTATGATAATTCCATTATTTGGAGTGGAAGACAGAGACTGTGCTGAGCTGTGGAGATAAAACTGCTGATTGGGAAAGATCTGTAGGGACCCTCTGCTGTGCTCTGCTTGTGGTGCATAAGGTGATTACAGTGCTGTTCTGTTGTAACCAAAGGAAGGTCCAGCAGAATCAGAGTGGCTTGAATGAAGCTGGAAAGCTTGGGGAAAGTGGTAAAAGTGGTTTTTTTGCCCGCATGAAACTGCCACAGGATGGTGGGAACATGAGTTTATGGCTTTTTATCTCTCTAAACAGCATCAAATAGAATGTTCTGAAATCTGCTAAAAACTGAGAGTTGTGTCAGAGGTTAGAAAAGTTCCTTACAGCTGCAAGCTGATGTAAACGAGAGGCAAATGATTTCCTGTCCCCTGATAATTCTTCATGCCTGCATAAGCCTAGGTCACAGTCAAAGCATGAGTAATTTCACAATCCCTAGAGTTTTGTGCAATAAGGTTATTTGGGGGTTGATGTGATGATGAAGGTGTGCTTGTGTTTGTAAAGTGCCAGTGTGGGACTACTGAACACATTTAACCCAAAATTCATTGTCAAATTAATTAAACGTTTCATATCCCTCCAACATATACTTTATTCAAGGCAATTTGTCATTAAGAAAAAAATCTAGTCATCCATGAGCAATTCCTGAAGTTGCCCTGTAACCGATTTTTGATGTAGCTTGAGCCTTCATTTCTGAATCCAAAGCCTTATTTCAGTCTCCAGCTGAGGCTGTGGGGACATTGCTTGCATTGCAGGAATTGTCAGATGCAGTTGCTCGTTTCACCAGCTGATGGCCACAGTCCCTTGCGGTTGAATGCCCAGGCACTGAGGCGTGGAAGGAAAGGCAGACAAATTGTTAAGGGCATGTATCTAGAAATTATTGCAGTAGTGAAAAATTTGTCTTCGTTCTAATTGCTCTTCCATCAGGAGTTCAGCCAAATCTGGAGACACTGATGTTTGTTACAAAATGCCTAAGATTGTTAGACTGCTTAAAACACAGGTCAGCACAGTCAGCGTGACCTAATTCTTATTCCTTCTGATGTTCCAGCTGATAAAATACCATCTGGAATAAGGAATGTTGGGGATAGGGAGTTTTTGGATGTAAGTATAGTACTGTGAAGATCAACTTCTCCTTTTCCCTGAAGAAAAGTCAGGGCAGTAGTTTGTGTGAGACAGTATAGAGGAAATACTTTTGGGAAAGTATTTCCATGTGATGTTTAAGTGGTGATATGTTTAAAAATTCTATTGTGCCGCTTCCATAATGAAAACCATAAGGATCTTTTTTCATCCACTGCATATGACAGGTTGGAGCTACCAGTTTGAAATATCCCATTATCTTCAAAGGAGCATGAGAAATCGTATTTTTACAGTCCCTTTTATAAAAGCTTAAAGGAGAAAGCATGGGCTTTATACATTAAAAAAAATTTGAAATAGTCTCAAATTCACCGTTTAAGGTTCTTAAATAGAGTAGTACTAACTTATCGTGTCTTCAAGACTGTGTCTGCAAAAAAAAGGGAAATCTAATCCTGCACCCCATACATAAAAGATCTTGGCACTAGGTATATTACTTCATTTTTTGCCTTCCAGAAGATTGGGTAAATGCTGTAATACATTGTCGTGCATTTTGGTTGGAATGCTCAGCTGGAATGTGCTGTTTCTGAAAGCTGGCGAGGTCATCCTGTTACAAAGGATTAGAGAGACGTTAATGTGTTTTCAGACAACAAAATATTACTCAAGCACCTGCTTGAGTTAAATGTAGTTGTTGGACTGAAATTTCTTGGACGTGGCTGTTTTTAATTCCATTTCAAACTCTGTCAAAATTACCTCATTTTTTCTGCCTCCTTTTCTTTAAACTCTGTTCAGCTTGTGCATAAACTTTCTTGCACAAAACATTTTTTAAAACAAATGGTCTTAGTGTGAATTGAAGCTTTAGCATAAGTTTTGAAAGTGTAACTTGCATTGTTCTTTTTTGTTCATCTTCTATCTCTATGCTATTTTGTATCAGTCTGTGTAGTATGAGTCAATTCTGTGTGGTAAGTTTTCCATTGAATACAGCAATAAAGTAGGTATGAACAAAAGGGAGAAGGAAGATTGAGGAAAGCTGGCTAAGTTCTTTGAAAAAGTCCAGAGTGCTTCAAGTGTTAGCAATACTGAAATGAGTAATGTTTATAATAACTGTTGAATTTTATTAACTTTGAAGAGCTTTTGGGAGAGAGTTTGATTTATTGGATCCCTTTAATATGTGTAATTTTAGTTTGCAGGATGGATTAAGAATCCTGCAAACTTTAAAACTTTTTTTTCTGTTCCTATTCTGTGCAATATACTAGTGGATTTGAGATAAATTGTGCAGGGCAGGTGGGGAAGCAAGGCTTTCTACCACCTCTGTCAGTATACCCCTACAAAGTGATGGTGTACAAATCCATTCCACAGGTGCTGAGCTCTGCTGTTTGTTCTTGTGTTCCAGGTCAGTCAGTGGTGCTCCCCCAGCCCTCCGTGGTGCAGCTTCAGGCTTCTGGGGTGCTTCCTGCTTCCCAGCCAGTCATTGCTGTCACTGGAGGGACCACACCACTTCAAAACCACACGGTGAATGCATTGCCTCCAGCTGCTGGAAATGGCTCAACAAGTGGGAAAATACCGGTGACTAAGCCCTTGCTTCAAGGCACCACACCAGCAATGGGACTGGATGTAAGTTCTGGCTGTGTGTGATAGCTGATAACCAAGGCTTGGAAACAGCTCTCAGTTACCTATTGTGTAATAGGTATTGTGGCATCTAATGGGATAACCAGATCCCTTCAGAGTCTCAGGGAAACTCTAATAGGATTTCTAACAGTAAACAGGGAGTCTGGCAGCTTGGCAGAGAACGGGGATGAGCAGCTTGATATCTGCTGGCCTACCTGGAGTTGCAGACCAGGGATGCAGGCGTAGCAAAAGATATTTTTCCATCATTTTTCTTCTCAAGTACAAGTTCTCAAGGTCTCTTACATACAGGAAGATATATCTGATTTTTGATTAGGGCTAAACCATTTTTCTAATCCATATAATAAAAACACTCCTTTTGAAATAGATGAATTGGAAATGTCACTGCTTAGTTCTTTTTCCATCCCCCTTTATCTCCCCAGATTTTACTTATGATTTTTAGAAGCTTCAGGTATTGAGTTTCATGTGAGCCTAATCTCTTCAGACTCCCTTTTGATCATATACTGTATGAGTAGAAAAGGTGTAAGCTCTCAACAATCTCTGTGCAAATAAAGAAGTTTTTCCATAGTAGCTCACAATAAGCAGTAGGTGTAAACAGAAATAGCTTTTGAGACGTGTGGGGGTTTTTTTCCCCTTTCAGCTTTGACATCTTAACTAGATAAAGAACTGGGTGTTAACTTGATTTAGTTCCTAGTAATTTGGAGCTGCTTTGGTTGCATTTTGTTGTCCGAAGAAGGCATAGTTGTGAAAAGTACCAAAGCTTATTGATTGTGGCTTTTAAACTCTGCGTGTTGTTCTTCAGTGTCATATTCTGAAAGCCATTGTGAGCTGAGGGTCCTATCACGTCTCTCAATGTAAGGGAGAAAACACTGCTGTCCATTCACATGGAATTTTGCTGTATTAGCTTACTAGCAGTGCAGGTCACTGTGTGTCAAAGGCATGTGCCTTCTTTGGAGGGATGTTGCTGTACAGTTTCCTCATGTCTGAGAATTGCCACTCGTGCTTGATATTAAATTTTCCTCACTAATCGTATTTGGGGGGGGGCTGCATTTTATAATGAAAAATAACGTGCTACAGTGAAAGTAGAGAGTACAGTGAAAACTTGATATTGAATTCACGAGAAGCTAGCAAAGGTCTGACAGTAGACAGTTAAGAGCACTGCATTTTTAAATGGTATTTGCCTGCAAAGCCAAACTGAAGAGACCTGTCAGCAGTCATTTGATTTGCGATTCCCTGTAACCAGGACTGACATGGCACCGTGCCATTGTCTGAATATAAGGGTTCATTGACAAAACCCTTAAAATGACTTACTGTCATTTTACTTGAAGTACACACCGTGACAGTCACTAGTCAAATGTGTAGCTGGGTAATGATCAGCTGTTTGTTTTGAAGGATGATTGCGTGAGCATTTCCACCCAAAGCTGTTTTAGGGCAGCAGTTCTAAGGCTTGTGAAATACTGCACATTGTACCTGTGTTTGTTGAAACATGAAGGAACAGTTGCAAATGCTCTTTGGCACATACTGTGAAAAAGGGCTTTGAGAAAGGACAAATGTTTTGGGATTCAGCTGGCGCCAGCAGGGTTAAAACATCTCGCGGCTGCCTCAGACGCCATATGTGGCGCTCAGAGCTGCACAGATGTAGCTGTCATTTGAGCTCTGTAACACGTGTTTTTGTTTGCTAATCTAAGCAGATGTTGCGGGATAAAAAGAAACACTGCAGGACTTTCATTTGGGCTTAGGAGGGATAAACTGTTGGCTTAACACTCAGCCCTTGCAGTGGGTTATACTGAGATGGGCCGATAGCAAGCCGTTGGCGTGAGGCCCCTCGTGGTGCATGTCCCAGTGGCACACGTTTGTGCAGCCTGCCAGCCGTGGGGAAGTGCCAGGCTTTCTGTGCAGTCACTCCTCACTGGGAAACAACTTTCCACTGGGAAGTTGAACAAAAGAAACGCTGCCTAAGCAAGCCACTCTTCCGGTTGAAGGAAAGAGGCTCTTGATGAAAAGAAACAGATTGCCTTTCCTGTTGCAGTTAAATGATATGAGGGCATAAACAGTAGGTATGTGAAGGAATTCGGTTTGTGTCCTTATAGGGCCTTTCTCTCATGTTTCCACTTTGCAGTGAGAAAGGATTCAATTCTGCCTCCCAGTTATCTTGATAAAAAAATTCAAAATCTAGAAAAAATTAGATTATGAAAAATTCTTTCAGCATAGGTGTGGATTTCTATTGAAACATTTTTCTCTGCTGTACATTGTGTAATATTCATATGAAATAAACTCAAGAAAACCCAGAACTTCCGTAAGAACGGACAAAAAACTTGTATAGGTTTTGCATTCCTGCATTCGAGAGGCATCATTAAAGACAGCAGCTTTTGTAAGCTGAGTTAAGAAGCCAGCCAATGCAAACTTGAAATGATTTGTACTTTCAGCTCTTCATTAACTTTCCCAGTGTTTGTACAGAAAACTCTTTGGAGTGTGAGAGGTGTTCTTACTGCCTTGTGCTAAAAGTACAGCTTGCGTTGGAATGGAGGTTAAATTTTGCTCTTAATTGAGTTTTCTTTGGAAGTAAAGTGAGGTAGCAGCGTTTGGTTTTTTTTTTTCCTAAAGTGCATGGCTCTTTGTAAGACCTCTGAAGATAGAGGACAATCTGAATCTAGTTAGTCCTGTTCGAACCAAGGGTTTGTAGTGAACGTTTCAGTTCTCCGTATTTACAACATTCTTATGTGCTAGTGGTGGTGTAGTTTTTAAAGCTAGGAAGCAGAAATTGCATCACTGATTACTGTTTGATGTTAAGGCATATGTTTTCCCTCTATGGTCTGTGTTTCCTGAGGACCAGAAGTTACTATTCTGAGTGGAAAATTAATACAATACAACTTAAAAGGTGGAAGGCTGCAAAAGAAGTTAGCAGGGGTGTTTGCTGCGTTTAATCTTAGTTCAGGGCTTGTACAAAGCAATGTTGCTCAAGCAGGCTGACTTTATAAATTAGTTCCTCTCTCTTCTGATTATCAAAGTGCTCAAGCAGGGGGCATGTTTATTTTGATGCCAGACCAGCTGTGTAGTGCTTATTGCTATACTGCTTCCACGTTCAAGCATTCTTGCACCATTTCACTCACTCAGCTCCTTCCATTTCCTGCATCAGATTTAGGTGGGATTGGGTGTTTAGTTGAGGCTTTTTTCCCAGGAAAAACCAGACAGGAGCTGGAAGGTTGACCAAAGGCCTTAAATTTTTTAGGGATTGTAAATTAAAACAAATTAACTCAAGGATGCAAATATTGGGTTTCATGTAAGCAAGCTTAAGAAATGAGTCAAAATGAAACTGGTGTGGCACAGACCAAAATGCAGTTATTGCTCAGAGCACCTTGAATCGGGCTGGGTAGAGCTGCTGTTCCTCCAGCATCTGGAGGACAGTGAGCAAAGGAGGGCAGTCTAGATGAACACCCTGTGAAATGTAGATGGCAGTGTCTGGAACAGCGACAGATGTACCTCAGATGTACTCTTTGTGTACAGGCACTGCACTGGTGCTAACACCATGTTTTCTGAAGGGAAGCACATTGATTTGCCAGACACTTAATTAAAAGCTATTCAGTAATGAATAATCCTAGCAGGTCTGCAAACAAGAGTGGATGTAAACAATTTGATCTTCTCTGTTTGACTTCATGATGCAAAACCTCTTTTCAAAGAGAGGAATGTAACTACTTGTTTGGAATATCTCACAACTCGAGCCAAAGCTGCTGCATGAACTCATTCCTTATTATTTCATCTGTGTACAGTTTAAGTGGTCCTGGCCCCAAATTGGTGTGTTCTATACTCTGCAGTTCTTGGCTAGCTCGAATGCGGGTTTTTTTGTCCAGTTTTTATATGTCTGCAGAATTTTTTTTTATGTTGAATGTTGTAGTACTTAAAAAATTCAAGACAAAGCTTAGTGTTAATGAAAATATGTTAAAATCTTTTCATTCTCCACTCTGCCAAAGAGAGATACTGGAGTAAGTACAAACAACTACACTTTCACAGACTTTTGTTGATGGCAGCAGACTAGACATATAATAAATGATCTTTCTAAAAAGCAATTAGGCCAACATGGGGACAGCTCAGAATGTTAATGCACTGTGACGTGTTTCCTTAGTTTTTGTCACCAGCCTGCAGCATGATGAAGAAGAATGTCGTCTTCAAACAGCCTGTAGCCACTTTTTTTTGCAGACACCAAAGCCCTAGAGCAACATATTGTCTGCGTGCAGGTATATTCAAGGAGGAGGTCAGAAAGCTGTGGTTAAGGTTCTCTACAAAGCCAGGCCTTAGCCAGAGCACACTGTCTGAGTTAGTTAATGTTACTATTCTGTGATTTGTTATTTTTTTCCTAGAATAATATTTCTGGAATAGTTCTCATCTGTTTTTCTTTAATTTTCCTTCTCTGATAAGTACAGGTCACTCCAGTGCGTGTGTTGGCAGCTACTGGAGGATATTCAGGTCTGTGTAAGATAGAGCATTTGATTATCTTTCAGAGTAATTGTCATTAAGGCACATCCAGTTGTAGCTTAATAATGAGATGGAAGTCTTCTGTTCTTAATGAAAACAGAGTTGCTGTTGCTAATCTGTGAGGGAGAGGAAATCAACAGAGCAGTGTTTAAACTTAATATTTCAAGTAGTTTTGTACAGTTCTGCAGTATCCATCATTGTTATCCTTGTCAGCAGCAAGATGCTTTCGGTCTGGGTCGTCCCACTCAGTGCAAACCACAGAATGAGTAAGTGGTAAAAGACGATGGAGTGTTCCTGCTTGGGAAAAAAATCAGCCACCAGGACTGTTGGAGGATGGGAAGGGGTTACTTTGAACTGTCCCAGTCTGGTCTTGCAGACTGAATGCCTGCTAGTGGTTAGAGGGAATTATGTGCTCTCCTGGAGTATATTTGCTGGTTGGACTTCATCCTGAAGGAATCCAGTTCGTGTGCTCTTTCAGAGACTGTTCTGTCATGTGAACCAAAGCACGTTAAGTGGGACAATCAGGAAATGTGCATCAAAGCCACACTCCTGATCTGAATTAAAATGTTAGTATAGATGCACCCGGAGACTGCATTTAAACTGCCGTGTAAGTGCTTGATACACGTAGAATGTGCAATCTGAGGCCAGCAACAGTATTCAAAAGCTCAAAAACTATATAGCATAGCTGGAAAAGGTACATAAGCAGGTGTAATCAGTGTGGAAATGGTTTCCATGCAGAATAGGCTGTAAAACTGTAGAAATTCCCTGTTAAGAAAGGAGATGACTGATTGTAGCCTATAAAATGGTGCATGGTAAAGTGAAGGTGAATGACATTCTTGGTGTCTTGCAGACCTGAAGATATGTATTTTCTGTCTTTGTGATTTGATTGATCAAACTGCTGCTCAAGTATACATTTTGTGTCCCCTATACATAGGAGGTTGAGAATGCAGGAAAAAGCAGGCGGTGCAGGGCCCATTTTTTCATTATCCCTGAGCTATGACTGAGAGGTGTACCACGTGCTGAACATTTCGACTCATTTGAGTAGAGTGTGAGAAACCATCTGTGCAGGGTTTTGACAAAGAAGAGAAGCAGAAATTATGCATGAAATAGAGGCACTTCTAACTTGTGAATTGTTAACAGGCCTGTGTATCGTCTGTTCAGGTCAATGTCTTGAGACGGCAGCAGCGCATGATCAAAAACCGTGAGTCGGCCTTTCAGTCACGCAAGAAGAAGAAAGAATACATGTTGGGACTGGAGGCGAGACTGGAGGCAGCCTTGCTGGAGAATGAGAAACTCAAGAAAGAAAACAGCACACTGAAGAGGCAGCTGGATGAAGTAGTGTTAGAGGTAAGAGATTGTGATGAAAGTCTGACTTCATATCAAGACAGTTGTTCAGGTGGAAGGCACTAGAACAGAATCATGGAAATGTTGTCTGCAAGACCTTTGAGGATTTCTAGACCAGCCTCCCACTCCAAACATGGCTTTCACCAACTCTGGGTCAGGACACCTGTCACATTACCTGATTGACTTTTAATTCTTTACTCCGTAGTGCTTCTTAAGATTTCACTGAGAAGATAGACGGGGTAGAAGCTGAATATAATGTACAAACAAAAGTTTTATTTTTAAGTAGTCCTGGCATGTATTCATACATAATTAGGCAAATATAAATCTAAAAAGCAAGCATCATTTGGTGTATTTAACTTCTGACATACCTTTGCATATCTGTGCCCCTCTTCTATTGTATGTCTTCTGATTTTTTCCTGTCTAGAACCAGAAGCTCAAAGTATCGTCTCCAAAGAGAAGGACCCTTTGTGTGATGGTGATACTGGCTTTTATAATGCTCAATTATGGTCCATTGAGGTAAGCTGCTTAGAAATTCCTCTTTGCATAGCAAGTTTTCTGTTTGCAAATTTTGTTTGAATCATTAATACAGGCAGCAGTGTGTTTTAAAGACTGGAGCTTGAAGTCTGACTTCTGTCCTTTATTTTTCTCCTGCTTTAGGGAAGATGTATCTGTATAATGGTTCTTCTTTTGGACTCCTTCTGGCAACAAGAGCTAGATCTTGTACTTTTAATTTCCCTTGGCTTGGCATTTTGTTAATCAATGCAGCCTACAGCAGTTTGTCTGCTTGATTTATATCTGAAGACATTAAGAACTGTGTTTAGAATCCTTTTAGGAAAAAAGGTACAGACTTCGAGAGCTCATCTGGTCATTTATACCTGTGCTCATTTCAGTACCTATGAGTTGAAACTGCATTAGTATCCAGTGAGGAAATCCCTCTGTATGTTCCAGTGTTTTGCAATCCTGACCTTTAGATGTGTCTAGGTGCAATCTCCCTTGTTAGTATGAGCCCTGTGTTACTTGTCTTCTAGATTTGGTGAAGAGGTTTTTCCCTCTCCTTGATTAGTTGAAGTGATAGTCAAAAACCTCTCATTTGAACTGTTATCAGTGGGGTATAGGAACCAGAGAGCAAGAGGGAAATGCTGCATTACTTCCCAGACACTTTAAAAAAGATCTGTGGAAGAAAGGAGAATAAAAAGCAGTACTTCTTGCATATACTTGTTTATTTAATTTGACTTTGGAACGTAAAGGCTTTTTATATGAAGCAGTTCGCTTTTTCAAAAGGGGATAATGTTTCAGTAGATTCTCAGTCAGCAGTCTCCATTTGTCCTCAAAACCCCAGTCAAACTAAAGGAATGGAATGGGATAAATATGGAGGAAGACTTTGTTTCTGACTGTGATAAATTTTTAGAATGTTGGTGTTTGTATTTTTAATAATATTAGCAAATCTGCTAAAGCTGAAATTACTTTTGAAGTATTTGCACTTATTGCAAATACTGTGTATCTCAGGCAGTGAAATACAGCTGATAATTTTACTCTGATATGGATAAGGTAGACCATTTCTTAATGCATTTAGAGTCTGTATTATGATGTTTGACTACCAGGCAGAAAAATCAGCTTCCAGAGACGCAGTGATTGATTTGTACATCCCATTTGCATTTCAAATGTTACCACTCACTTGAGAGAGACACTTGGTGAGAACTACTAGAATTAGTTATCTTTCTGAAGCTGAGGGAAATTCTAGTTGTCTCTGCATTACAGTGAGGTGATGGAATGCATGAAACTCTTGTTAGTGATAAAAGGCTTGGGAACATAGAGAGATGGATGAGAAGTCTTTTACCACAGTGCTCGAAAGCTCCTGTGGCAGCTTCTCTACCCCCAGGAATGAGTAAGCTGTTGAGTTTGATGGCAAGGCACTTCTGTCAAAGGAGGCTGAAAGGTCAGCTTGTGTTCATATCTTTGCAACAGTCAGTAACTATAGAAATGTGAGAGGGTTAACTTCTTGACATGTTTGACGTTTAATAAAGTAGATAAAGCAAAAAAGAAATCCTTGGATGTCTGGCTGTTCCTGGCCAGTGCAGTAGCTGAGCATGCCAGTGTGACTGCTGTGCCTGAACCAGGTGGTTTGCATCAGTACTGGATTTAGGCAGTGAAGAGAAACGTTTTTGCAAATTTCCTTTTTCTTTTTTTTTTTCCTCCCTAGCAGAATAAATGCTTTGCACTGCAATTAAAATCCTAGGCTTTATCAAGGTGGTGTGAATGTTGATTGTGCAATAGTCTTTAGAAGACCCAGAATGTGAGATATACAAACTATTTCTTTAGATTTCAGTCCTCCCATACATATTTTCTTCCTTTTATAAAGGTGTCACTGAATGGTAGCTCCACAAATATGATAGTTAGGATTACTGTTCTACTTAGTCCTTAACAAGAGGAGCTTCCAGTGTATGTGCTGTTTTTCAGCACCTGCAACTTCTTACAGAAATAAGTAAATTTTTGTTATAATATCCATGCTAGCTTATAGTTCAGCAAAAGTACTCTTTTCCCCCAAGTTAGCTAACTGTGGAATACCTAATTTCTGTGCAGTGGTCAGCTGGAGATAAATATGTTTTGAAACCTTGTGACAGTGTTGCCATTTCTTCTGCACTGGAAATCATTTCACTTGCACACCTGTGTGGAGGTGTGCCAGCATTCAGGCTCAGGATGTTTTGATTCGGGCATATTAGCAGTGAATAATTATTCAAAACCAGTGAACCATTGCAAAGGGAGAGTGACATCCAAAAATAGCAAAATCATGGGAAATTCACCCCCTAACTTCTAGAGCAGACTTTGGAATTCCCTTAGCCGTCTTTATTGTGAGACGCTTCTCAGGTTCCTAGTTGGAAGTGATAGGATTCTTTGAAGACTAGAGGTAAAACAGAAGGTCAGATATATAGATTTTCTCTTTAGTTACCTATTTCTGTCAAGTCAGAGAAAGGGAAGCAGTTGGATTGTTTTGGGACAAGAATGTGAAACTGAAGAACAGACAGTCCTGCAAATCCTCCATGGCCTGCAGCGGGTCAGTGGAGGTGCAGTGTGTGGGCACTCAGCATCCCACAAAAAGTCCCATCTGGATGATTGGCTGTGTGGTTAGTTCTGTGTTTTCCTCTGCATTAAGGGATGTGTGTTGCACTAATACTTGCTCACACATAATTTTTTTAGATTGGTCTTAAGTCTTGTTGACTGTGTGTTTGAGTGGTGAGATGTTTGTGATGTTTCATGGAGGACTCCAAGACTGCTGTTCTGCTGTTTTAGGATTATGGGAAGCAGTCCAGGATGTGGCAGCCCTTGGCAAACAAGTTTAGCAGATAAAATTATTCTGCTGCCACATTTTTTCATGCTGACAAATATGTGTATGGGTAATCTGTAATGTTGAATTTGGGTATATGGGAGTGGGGCTGCAAGTCTGGTAGGGAAGCTGGCCTGTTGACACAAGAAATCTGTTGGAAAATACTGGAGGAAGAGTCTAGTCCAGTCTGCTTAGTTGCCAAGAAGCTTTTAAGAACATCCTTCAGTCTTGGACACAGCACCATATTATCTCGAAGAAATGAATGTAAGTCTAATTAAATATAAATTGAATATCAGTGTGAATTGAGGATGTGAAAGTGGCTTGTATGGAGTTAGTGGTAACTCTGCATTAGGTTGTACTGTGTTACTAAACTTTGTTGGGTTTGTTGATACTTTGTATAGAAAACAGAAACTTTCAGTTATTAAAAGCAGAAGTAATTTCGCAGGAATTGTATTAGTGTAAGTTTCTATTTTATCTGTTTGTTTTACACTAAAAGAAAGGCACCCAGGAATTTCCCATCTGTGTGTCAGTGAACTATTCTGTAATCTTTGTGAATTATTTGAGTTTGGACTTAACATGTATAAAAACCTCCTTTTATTATTATTTAAGAATGATTGGTGAGGTGTATGAAGGGAAAAGGGTATGTTCTGATTCAGCTCCTTGCAGAGGTCACCCCCTTGCCCCAGTCTTACATACCATGAGGTGCAAGGCAGGAATTGGCAATCCGTGGTGTTTGCACGAGAGGCAGTGAGCACACAGACCTTGGCACCACGCCAGGGCCGGGAGCTGGGACCATGGCACCTGGAGGAAGGTATCTGTGGGATCTCCTGCCTTCACATGTGCCTTCTGTGAGAGGCAGGCCAGTCAGTGTAGCCGCATTCCCAGCTGGCTTCTGGCACTGAGAAACACCTAGTTTGCTGTGCATTTTTGTTTTACCACTTACTACATGGAATCTGAACATTTTCAAATTATTACAGTTCCTAGATGCCTTTTTTTTTCCTTGTTTAATTACCACATTTGTGTTAGACGCTGCCTGTATAGTAACCAGATCTGAAAATGTGTTAAACAAGCACAAACAAGGCTGAAACAAATGGAAACCAAGCCCATGTTCTAGTCTAAACAACCTGTGTATTTATTTTGGGAATATTTTTATTTTTATTCTATTCCCCATTTGAATATAAATTGTCTTGTGTGGTTTTTTTTTAATGCAAATCCTAAATGTGATGATAACATATTTGCAGGAAAACAACGCAACCAATGTATAAAAATCAGGGAAGGGAGAACGATCACAGAAAATGCAAAAGATAATTTTTCTGCTTATCTTCTTGGGAGAGTAGCAGCAAAGCATGTAAGGCAGGTATTTGCTAGTGACCTTAGCTTTACTTTTTGGCTGTGGAAAAATGTTCAACTAGTTATTTTTCCCCCATAATCAGTCTACTCAAGCTTGCATCTACTCAAGCTTGCTAACTGTCATCTAGCAGCAGTCTTAGAGCATTTATTAAGATGTCAGCCAGCCAGAATGTGTCCTAACTACCATTTAGTGGACAGAAAACAAAATAAAATATGAAGATGGAGAGAGGAAAGGCAAATTTGCAAAGAGATTGGAACAGGAGGTTTGAGAGGGTGGTGTGATATTTTATTTTTTCTTTATTTTTATTTTTATTACTTTTGTGTTATCTTACAAGTTGGCCACCTCTGTATGACTGGAACCTCTTTCAACTGAAAAACAGACTTGATGGTGTAAAGAAAATTTCTTAAGCTGTATTTGTGGTGGAGGATGGCTGAGGTGGTGATTGATGGAGCTCAGTAATGCTGCTGCTGCTGCTTCAAAACCTCTTGTGTCCTGTTGACCTAAAGCAGCTGTGCTAGAATGGCTGGCCTTTTACAGAGACTTCATTGCAGCTCCTCTCTAGGGTGTTCTCATGGGTTTTCCTCTACTTTCCAGGACTATCCTGGAAATTGAATAATCTATTAAAAATTTAGATCCAGTGACCAATCTGCAAATAAAGACACTGGCCTGGCCAGCTGAGAAATGTCATTTGTCTGCTATCGTCATGGACTACAGCAAATGAAGAAGCAGTGATTTTTGACTCCTGAAAGACTTTGGGGTGTGTCTCATTCCTTAAATTGGTAGCACAAACAGGAAAAAAATCCTACCAAAAACAGAAGTGGTTAAGATTAATCATCTTTTACT